ATCAAATTATATGAAATTGCTGATATTTGGCCAGTTTTGACTATAAAATGGCAACTTCATGTGGTTTCACTTTATAATTTCTGAGGCCAAAACTTGAGTTCTTAACTCCTCTTTCTCTGATATTAAATCAGCTCACTTCTCATAACGTCCAGGGCCACCAGCCTCATCAGTCCCCTTTCTCTCTTGTATTACTAAACAATTTTGCCCTGTCCTTCCCCTTTCCAACAGTCCACTCTCCATACAGTAGCCAAAGTAAACTTTGTAAAACATAAATCAGATTATGTCACTCCTCTGCCTAAAATACACCCAGGTTGCCCATCTTGCTCAGAGTAAAACACAAAGTCCTTACAACAGGCTACAAGGCCTTATCTGATTTGTCCACCATGATGATTCTCTGTTCTCATCTCCTAATTCTCTCAATTTTATTTATTTTGCTCTAACTAACGGCTAATGGCCTCCTTGCTTAGCCTGAAACACACCAAACACATTTCCACACCAGGACCTTCACACCGTTCTCAGATTGAAAGACTCTTCCTCAGATATCCCCATGGCCGGTCCCCTCACTCCCTTTGGGTCTCTGACCAGATGTCAGCCTGTCAGGGTGTTCTTCCCTGACCACTGATATAAATGGAAACACATACACACATGCCTTATGCTCTGTCTCCCTTACCTTCCTTTATTTTTCTCCATAACACATATGACCATCTAAACATTGCATTATATATCTATGTTTATATTTGTCTATTTTCTGCTCAACCCAACAATATGTAAGCCCCATAAGGGAAGGTACTTGTTTATTTTGTTCACTACTGTATATCTTGCAGCAGGAAGACTTCTTGGCACATAGTAGACCATCAATAACTATCTCTTGGTTTAAATGAAATAAATTAATGAATGAATATATAGCAAACAGAAATTTTTCTTGAGAATGGCTATTTTGAACCCCCCCTCCAAAAAAAAATTCACTGAGAACAGAATCTGCTAAACCTTGAATTCGATCAGTTATTGGTAAACAATTACTTACGGTGGAAGAAAAGTACACGCTAGGGCTTCAGGGTCACTACATGTTTTAAAACAGGGAGTGGCACAAGGTTCATACCTCCATTCACACATCCTCCTGTAAGGCACAGCTACCTGGATTTCTGGGAAAAAGTAAAGTTTAGATTGTGTACGTTTTTAATTCACAGCTTGAAAACTAGCAACTTGTGACATGAGTCCTTCTAGTGTTTGACTCCTCTTTGACCATAATGCTATGAGAAGATAGACCTAAAGAAAAAAGCACTGTAATTGTTTGGTGGTCACATTTTGTGCTCAGGTTAAATACCTAAATGTAAGTCTATCTTCCAATAATTTTTTAAGGGAGGTTGGAGAAGGCTAAGGAGAACTCAAAATCTTCTTCCTTTCTCTATGTTTAGTGGGTTTTCATCGACCTTCGTATCATAATAATACCAAACACTTGTTTGAAATTTTATATTTTGCAAAGTAATTTTTTGTCTATTATTCTATTTTATCCTGTCCATTTTTCTATTTTGTCCTGCAACAACCCTGTTGAATAGGTATTATTTTTAATTTATAAATGAAGAAATTAAGGCTCATAGCAGCCAAGTGACTTGCCAACTTCAAACAATGAGGACAATAGCAAGACCAAACACACATTTCGTGTCTTTGAATCTAGAGAGAATGTTCCATCATTTTCTACTCGCAATACTTAGCACATTGCCTTGTACATGATAAGTGTTGTTGAATACGAAAAAGAGGATGCATTTGAATAATACATGCTTATAGTTACAAAATCTCCCTTTATTGAAGATTTTTCTCCTGCAAACTCTGCTTATATTCTCCCCTTCCTGCAGCATAGATAAGTCCTTTGGTAGCAGTTCAAGGCTATCTCTAAACAAGAGACTCCATAAGGATAAAAGTCAGGAAGCATGTATGTTTCTTGTACTTTGGATGCAGAATTCAATTCCAAAGGAAAGGAAAATATGTCTTTTTGGAAAGTACCTATGCATCTAAAGATTGAAATAACTGCTAAACTTGAGTTATTGGGCTCACGGGTCCTCAGAGAGGACTGGTT